TCAAAGATGTCCCAGAAATAAAGCTCCCCCTCAAAAGTATCTCATAGTCAAAAATTATAAACCCACACAAGAAAACAAGGCAACGTGGGTAAGAGCTAGCAGTAATTGATCCAAAATATTTTAGAGACTGGGATCATAACATGCAAAATAAAATAGAAAATTGTTACTAATATGCTTTAAAAGTTGAAACAAAAAATAAAATAGAAGCTTGAACATTTTGGCAAATAAATGGAAATTATATAAGATGACAGAGATTACCTGCGAAATCAACAAATTAATTTTTTAAAATTTCAAATTCAACAAATACTTTTTGAGTTCTCCCTATGTGCCAGGGCATGTATTAAATACTTGCACATATATTATCCATTTTTACTTTCATAACAACAAATAATTCTGTTAATAAGTACCAAAGTTATAAAAACCTTCATACTAAAATATTTTATTATTTTTATTTTCTCTACAATCTGGATACTTTCTTCTGTTTTCCAGTTCACAAGTTATCCCATCACCTGTACCAAATCTATCATTATTCATATCTGTTGTGTTCTTATTTTTGGTTATTAGTAATTTTTTTCTAGTTTTGGAATTTCTATTTTTCTTTTTGTTCTGGCCTTTGTATTTGAGAAGTTATTTTTAGGAAAATTTCTGCTTGCTTCTTCCAGGTATCTTAATCTACCAGTCTAGTACCACCCTATTCTGAGTTCAAAGATGGAGGTTGTCCCAAATTACAGATGATTGCAAGCTGGCTGCGAGTCAGTAGGAGTACTGATTTATTTCTGCTTCACCATTTTCATGAGGGCAAAGTCCTCTGAAGCCCTAGCTTAAAGACAGGGGGTGTTTATTTATTTATTGAGCCCAGGCTTTGCCTTCTGCCCCTTTTTTTCACAAAACTATCAAACAGCTGCTCAGTTTTGCACCTGTTCCTTCCAGAGCAACAAATGCCTTCAAAAGCAGCCTTAAGTGCTGGGCTCACTTCTCTAGGTTCATGTCTTTTCCTTGATTTTGACCTAGTAATTTCTCACTATCATATTAGCTAGTGATCTGAAAGGTTTCTGCTTTCAGGCCTGAGTTGAGCTCAGAGAAGAAGTTGACCCAAGTGAAAAGAGGCCATTAAGCAGGCAGGCCCAACTTTCCTCTCTGGTTACAAATTTGTTTTTCCCATTAGGACCCTTTCACTTCAACATTGTCCTAGCCATGACTGGCTCCAGGAAATAAGTATTACATCTTTAAAACTTTAGCTCATGACTATACAAAAATCTTTCTCCTTTAGTTCCCCTTAATATCTGAAAGAGGATGACATTTTCAAAACCACAGTGTCGAAACACTGAAGTCCATAAAAAGTAAAAGCAGAGAATTTAAAAAATCATGATAGTCATTTTTCAAAGAATTTGGCTTTGTTTTCTGATCCTGAAGTGAAACCTGGTGCTTCTAAATTCCCATCAGGAGGAGAAGCAGCCCTGATAGTGATGATTGACAGGCCTAGCAGGCATGACACAATGAAAGGCCTCATGCTGCCTGGTTAAGGGCGCACATTTATGCCTTTCTCTTCAGATGTCTAATGCCTATCCCAGCCCAGAGCAGGTTGGTAAGGATGCTGAGGCAGGACACTTTCAAAATCTCTCTCAAATCACATCCAAATAATTAAGAATCTCTCTCTTTGCATGGGCCTTCACACTTTAATGAAGGGCTTTAGGACATTGACCAAGCACCCATATTCTCCAGCTTCCCTGTCCAGCATAATAGCCACCAGTCATGTGTGACTATGAAGCACCTACATGTGGCCAGAATGAACTGATTGAGCTTTAAGTAAAAACTATGCATCAGATTTTGAAGACTTAGTATGAAAAAATATATAAAATATCTCAATAATTTTTATATTGACTAGGTGTTAAAATGATATTTTAGATATATTAGATATATTTTAGATAACTAAATATAATTAGATATATTTAGATATTTTAGATATATTTAGATATTTAGAAATATATTTCATCTGTTTTTTACTTTTTAAAATTTGACTACTAGAATATTTAAAATTATACAAGTGACTTGCATTATATTTCCATTGGACAGCGCTGCTCTAGGTGATCTTAGTTCTAAATAGTGAATCTCTTCCTGCTGAATGGTTATTTTCTCAACTAGAATGTGTATTAAGCATCTCCAGAAAATTCCTTTGAAAATGTTTGCCATTAACTACCAATGAAACTAATCAAATAATTATAACTCTTTGGATCTGAGTTTCTTCACATCCAAAATGAAGAGGTTAGACCAGCAGTCTCCAACCTTTTGGCACCAGGGGGTATGGTTTCAGGATGACACTGTTCCATGCCAGATCATCAGGCATTAGATTCTCATAAGGAGTGCACAACCTAGATCCCCGGCATGTGCAGTTCACAATAGGATTCGTGCTTCTATGAGAATCTAATGCCGCCACTGATCAACAGGAGGTGAAACTCAGGCCGTAATGCTTGCCCGCTGCTCACCTCCTGCTGTGTGGCCAGGTTCCTAACAGGCCACTGACCAGTACCAGTATGCAGCCCAGGGGTTGGGGACCCCTGGGTTAGACTGTATCTCCTCTATAGTTTCTTCAGTTCTATGATTATTTCATTATAATTGTTTTAAAAAAATTTTTAAGTATGCTCTATGCATAAGGATATACTTAGTTTTTAAAATTATAATGTATATATGTTATTTTTAAACTTTTTTTAAAACATAAAAATAATATTTCCTTGTTGATATAAAGACAGACATGAAGTTATTTTATATAGCCACGCATATGTTAAAGTTGCACATTCATTTACTATATTGCTATTATAAATCTTCCCATGAAATGATTTTGTTATGAAGGTTTTTAAATTTTAAAGGTTTAGCCTATTGCTTCATTATTTATTCCCTATAATTGGTCCCTTAGCTTTTCTTCCATAGGTCATCCTTATTCTTCATCTATTTATGCCCCCTATATTCTCCTTTGACCATTTCTGGTTACATTTTATCTTATCCTTACTTTGCCATGCCCTCCAATTTTCTTTCATGACTAAGCTCTCTTGTCACTTCTCACTAACCCTGTTTAGGAAGATTTCCACCCTGGCCACACTCTTCCTATCCTTTAGACTGGGGCCTTCCTGGTCTCATCCCTTTCAAAACAAACTTACCTGAAAATATCTAATAATAAGGACATTTCAAGGTGAATTCAGGTCTTTACTGTTACTTCTTCCTAGCAGGGTAGGGGACAGGTATTTGCATTTTAAATCTTAACTCTCATCCTGAAATGAAAACCTTTATTTGTATTAAATTGAATGGGATGTTCCTATTCTATATTTAAATTTTCCTAAAATCCATTATAGTATGTGTCTTCTCACATGTTTTTGCAAGCATTCCCCTGCACCTATTCTTCCATGTGAAAACATGAAACCTACAGTTTGCTAAGGAAGATCCTGACTGCTAAAGAAACCAACTCAAGCTTAATGTTTGGAGAACACTGGATTTGGATTAAGATGATCTAGGTTTATATCTTGAGGTATCATCCATTTCAAGTGCAAATAGATGGACAAATCCATGGACATATCCTTCATTCTCTCTAAGCCTGGGTTTCCTAATCTTCTGAAAGGAGCTATAAATAACACCTGATACACTTGCTGAGTGTATTTCTGAGCCTCTAAAGAAATAATGAACATGGAAGTACTTACCAATGTTACATAGCCTTAGTGATCTTGGGCATCCTGAGATTTCATTAAATTTCGTTGCTAGTTTCATTTTCCCTTCCTTGGGTTAGAAAAAAAATACATTGACCCATTCAATTCAGACAAGAATAACTAAGAGTTTTCAGAATAATGAAAAGTTTCAAGTTAAGATAACACAGTCACCCTCTTCATGCAAACATGAGAGCTATGAAACACTTATTAGAACTAATATCCCAGGTGACTATATACAATTCATCTATGAAGCTCAATTTGTCAAGAAACAGCATAATGGTTTTATAAAATTCAGTTGGAACCTGGACGGAGGGATGTAGATGCGCATTAAATTCATGGAATATTAAAGTAGCAAATTAGCATTAAAGTGATGAAAGTAAAGTACAAATAAAAGACTTTAAGAATTAAGTAGTCACCTCCATGTATTAAGAAGGAATTATTTGGTTAAAATAAATCAAACACAAAATTCAAGTGCTTAAAACAAATCACTCGAGATGTCAGTTGGAAAATATATATTCTTTTCTATTATTTCCTCTATGAAATGAAGAGAGACAGAAATTCTGTCATCAATGACTCTTGGAATTTGGTGGAAAAAGGAAAGAATCCGGAGTCAGTCCCATTGAGTTTCGTTCCAGCTTCTCTTAGAAGCTCTTCCCTTCTCCCTGAAGGGAGGCAACACTGTCCGCTCGCCTGACTAGCAGTTAAGGACCCATCGCGCTTGGAAAGCCAGGTACAAGCAGATGCTGTTAATCACCATAGGAACCGGGGCTGAGCGATGAAATCCAGCTCCTCCCAGCTGGAAGACACTAGGGTGCACGGAGAGAAAAGCAGTTCTCTTTACCCCAAGTTTATTTCTTTTTCATACCACTTCAAATTTGAGTAAGAGGAAAGAGGGCCAAGGGGATTTAAAGAACCTGGATGATGAACTCCCAGCTGTTTACAGTTCCTTCGTGAACTCTTTGGTTCATTCATTCAACCAGTATTTCCGGGCTGCAGCTTGGGTGCCGGGCCCTGGGGTAGGGCAGTGGGACTACAAAGAGGAAAGGACCCAGAATAGAGGGGACACTGGACGCATAACTGCGGGATGGCGAGGTCGCGCTCGCGCGGGGCGAGGTTGAAGGCAGCCGAGGAACCCCCATAGGGCAGCACCTAGCCGCCGCGCCCATCCCCCACTCCGACGGCCACGAGTTCGGGCCGCGACGTCCCCATGGCAACAAGCGGCGGCGCTGAGCGCTGGGAGGGAGAGGCCCAACTGCCTGGTTGGTCGCGCGGCAGGAGGGCCCAGGCGGCGGGAGCGCAGAGGCGGGTGGCGAGGCCCCTTGGGGCGGGCCTGGCCAGGTGGGAGGTGACCTACGCGGTCCTGCGCCCCCGGCCTCAGACCTCTCGGGCGAGCGCCGCGCAGCGCAGGTAATGGCTCTTGGCCTTCTCGGCCCCGCCTCGCCCCTGACCCTCACCCAAAGGCCAGGCTGTCCCCCGGGCTGGCGCGGGTCCTTGAGCGGGACAGGGGGACCCCAAAAGGGCGGCCGCTCTGCGGGAAGCTGGGCTTGAACCGAGCGCGGGTCCTGGAGGGGCGCGTGGCGCCGGGACAGAGGCTGGGAGGGGAGGCCCACCATGCATATCCAGAGCAGAGCTGCGCCCTAAGTTAGAAGGCCTGGGCTTTAGTCGTGTGGCCTTGGGCAAGCCACTTAGCTTGTCTGTGCCTCAGTTTCCCTGACGTTTAAGTGAGAGATTTGAGAATCTACAAAACCATTTATAGGTCTGCGCGTTCTGGTCACGTTTTCCTTCACCATCCCTTGCTCCTCTCTGCTCTGTCCCACACACAGTTCCAGGGTCTCTCCTAAACTCTTCGGTTTGGAAGTGATGTGAGCTCGAATCTTCCTCCTCTTTCTACCTCCTTGAATGCTCTTTAATTGACTTTTATTCAGTGATTCGGAGGAGTTGAAGTCCTTCTCAATACTTTCTCCAGTTATCGTCATAGATTATTTTTTAACTATAATTTTGTTACTGAGAAAAACATTTTTTTTTTTTACTTTAGGCAAATACTAACGTCCCTATTTTGTCAAGAGGTGAGCCAGTGCCCATAGAGCCATTGAAGAATTTCAAGGTTTCTTTTTAAAGGCATTCGTAGCCTTTTTGTCTTAAATCTCATAGTTATATTCATCCTAACAAAACCCAGAGAGGGCCAAAGAAAGAATGTACTCAAATAAAGGCACACCTTTCTTGGATCCACAAGAATAGAAAGTTTGAGAACATCTGGCTAGAATTTCTCTTTTAATGGGAATTCTGTTTTACTCGTTCTCATGTACTGAGTCCTTTGCAGACAATATAGTACCAAGCTATTATTCAATAAGTAGTAAATGGATGCTCATTTTAGTCAGTACCACATATTTCAATTCATCACTAAGTCAATATCATAAATGCATAGGGGTCGCTAAACAAAAGAACTCAAGTTTGGGAGGCCAAGGTGGGCAGATCACGAGGTCAGGAGTCTGAGACCAGCCTGAGCAATATGCTGAAACCCCGTCCCTACTAAAAATACAAAACTTAGCCGGGCGTGGTGGCAATTGCCTGTCCCAGCTACTCAGGAGGCTGAGGCAGGAGAATCGCTAGAACCCAGGAGGCAGAGGTTGCAGTGAGCTGAGAGCGTGCCACTGCACTCCAGCCTGGGCGACAGAGCGAGACTCCGTCTGAAAAAACAAACAAAAAACCAAAACAGAAAACTCAAGTTTCTATATTTTGTAGGATCAAGAGCTACTACACAGAAAAACTCATACTAAGTGGGTTTTGCCAGTAGCTAAATTTTCCTGTTTTATAGGTTAATGAATGTAAACATTTTAGGAATTTGGATCATTTTCCCCCTAACAGATTAAAAATCAAGAAATATAAACCAGATGTAGCAGTTTCTTGACATGGAGAACCAAGCCCATAATACAATGGGGTAAGTGCTGAGAAATTTCTGTTTTATAAGTATGTACTTAACTATGCCAAAAACTTCCTGAGAACGCATGAATTTTGAAATTTACTATTAAGAGAAGGATATGCCAATTATTTTTGGTGAGGCAGATGAGAGGAAATATCAAGTGACTGTAATTAAGAATTATAATGCGAGAGTTTCTGATTTTGACACTACAGATCTGCACTCAAAAAATCACTGTTTTCCAACTCTTAGTGACTGTCCAATATCTAAGGGTGATGGATGCTGAGGCAGGCCTCATGTGCTCTTCTATTACCACAATGCAACCTCTCTTCGACAGCTTGCTCCTTTTTTGCTGCATTATCTCAAGTTTCCCTCTACTCTTGCCCCTTAAGGCTGAACTCAACACTTAAACATAGGCTGAGAATAGATCCAACTCCATAAAAACAGCATCAAGAACTAGATATTTTACCAAAAGTTTCACGAAGAGATAAAAATAAAATTTGTATAGCATTTGTCATTGTAGAAATCAAATTCCTGTTTACAAATATCTGTCCTAACTCTTTACCTGCTATCAGCATCACAGAGTTTTGTCTTCCAATCACTAGCCAACTGACCACTGGCTGAACACAGCATTTGGGGAATGAGGGGGTGAAGAGGTGGCTGTATAGTGCCTAATCTTGATTGCAGCTGACTTTGGCACTAGTCACACCACTTCAGTTGTCTCACTTTCAGAAATTCTGCCCAGACCATAACTTTAATGTCAGGCTGAAAGAAAGCTGCACAAGTTTGAATAATAATCATAGCTATCACTTTTTAGCTGCTACTGCATACTCCTTCTTACAACAGCCCTGCTAGGTATTATTCTTGTTTTACAACTAAGAAAAGTAAATATATTACAGTACAGTCTAAGCTCTTATAACAAAGAGACTCCAAAAACAGCAGCTTAAGTAAGATTGAAGATTATTTCTGTTTCATATACTTGTCACAGGTGCTATGCTCGCCCAAGATGCGCAGACCAGGATTGGTTTGGCAACTCTGCCATCTTCACTAACGATTTCTATCTCTAGGACCAAAGTGGTTGTTTCAGCTCCTACCATCATAAGTGTGCTCTGTCATCATGACTGTGCTCCTTCCATAGGGAAGGAGAAGGGCAAGAGGAGACAGTAAGACATTTTCTTTTAGGAGTATAACATGGAAATGGCAGGTCTCACTTCTGTTCACTTTCCATTGGCCAGAACTTAATCCCAGAGTTACAACTAACAGCAAGAAAGGTTGGGAAATATGGTCTGTAACTAGGCAACTATATGATCAGACGAAGCTTAGAAGTTCTAGAACAAAGGAGGAAGAATGGATATTGGTGAAAAACTAGCATCCTCTACCACATTCAGCCTCAGAAAGGTAGAAAGATCAAAAAAAGCAGGAGCTCATCGTAGAATATACACCAGGTTAGTAAAGAAAGTAGGATTTGAATTCAGGTATGCCTGGCTCCAATCCCTGTGTTCCTTTCTGCGTTGGAAATGGATGGCAATGAGATGCAGGGAGCAGCCTGCCTGGTATCCATAGTAGAGCCAAGTTAGGATTCTGGGTTAAGTATGTGTTGGGTCCGTGGTGTGATGATAGCACTAAGAGTTAAGATGCAGATTGAAGATGTTGAACCTAAGGTTGGGTACCAGCTATCACTTCACTCCTGCAAATCCAAGGCTATGGAGTCATTTAAGAAACAGACCTTGTCCTTAAAGAACTTAGAATTTAGTAAGGAACAGTAGAACTTGTTTGGGTATGGTGTAATTACAACCCCCCAAGTTAATGAGAGTTATTAGAGGTTTTCCTGAGGTATTGTTCCACTGATCACAGTAGACATGGGCCAGACACTGCCTACCATGGTCTCCAAAGCATGGAGACCCCAGGTTGGCACTGCCTCAGTCCCACATGCTATTGAGAAGTAAGTATGAATCCAGATCATGAATACAATAAAACTTCATCATCAGGGGCTTGTTATGTAGCTTATTAAACCATGTCACCTACCTATACAGTAATGTTTTGTGGAACAGCCTACATTTAACAGATACTTATTTAGAGTCTACTGTGAGCTACTTACTGGTCTAGGCACCAGGAAGGTAGCAGTGAACAAAATAGACAACTGTTTCTCAAGGGGCTTATACCATAGTGGAAGAGACAGATAATAAACATAAAATTTGTATCATATGGTGATATGAAGAAAAATAAAGCAGTCTAAGGGTGGGAAAAGTAGAGAGTGTGAATCGAGTGGTCAAACAAAGATGCTTTGGTAAGGCAGCATTCGGGCAGAGAATATATCTGGGGGAAAAGATTATACAGAGCAGGTGCAGAAAGTGGCAAGGCCTACAGTGGGAGCTTTCCCACAGAACATTTTCAGTGTGAGTGAATCAATATTCTCGGATATCATGGTTATAACCCGGTTTGATGTTAATTTATCCATGATTTCTCCCAATTATAGGTGTTTGTATTTGTGCCATAATAATCTAAACTGCTTGTAATTGAAACTCAATTTTATGTTTGTTCTTTTTGTTTTTAAAGTGCGTTTCCAGAACATAATTATGGAATGAATAAGTGATCCCTTTTATTGGCCTTTTTAAGAAAACCTTCTCTAGATTTTGCTTTGTTTTTGTTTTGTTATTCATGAATTTCTACTTACCAGTTTGCCCTTTTATGGTTTATTTTATTTTGTTCCCATGGGTTGAAAAATTTGCTTCAGTTATTTTCATGATTTCTGGATTTCATTATTTCTTTAAATAATAAAAAGCATGTAACTTTCCTCCTGAGCACAACTTTGCTGCCTGCCATAGGATTAGTGTTCTCACCATCATTTTCTAAATAATCTGTCATTTCAAATTTGATATCTTCTTTGACTCAAGAGATATTTAGAAAATGTAATTTCAAGGGGCATTTAGTTATCTTTTTATTACTACTTTTTAATCTTTCTACTACTATAGTCATAGGATATGGACTATATGATTTTGGCTCTGTCAGTTTCACTAAGATTATTCTTGTAGTCTGTTGCAGGATCAACTTTTATTAATGTCCTTTGGGTATTTGAAAACACATGTACATTCTCTTTTGGTTGAGTAAAAAGGCTAAAAAAGTTATATAATCAAACATTTTAATTGTTGTTATGTTTAACTTGTGCTTTTCAAGTACAGTTACATTAATTTTTGGTTATTTGATCTGTCAAATTCTAAGGAAGATCTTCATTATAATTGTAGTTTGTCTAATCCTTCTTGTATTACTAACAATTTTGGTGTACATACTTCAGTGTTCTGTTGCTCGATGTGTCAAGATTTATGGGTATATCTTCTCAGCATATTATGTAATTAACATCATAAAATATAGCACAAGTATAAACTGATGTTTTCTATTTTAATCCTACTTTGCCTGATATTAATATTACCATCCCTGCTTGCTTTTTAATATACTTTAATCAATAATATCTTTGTTCATCACCTTGTTTTCAACCTTTTTTATGTCATATCAAGTTTATCTCCACATATAAATAGAATATGGTTAGATTAACAAATAGAGGCCAGGCGCAGTGGCTCACGCCTATAATCCCAGCACTTTGGGAAGCCAAGGCAGGCAGATCACCTGAGGTTGGGAGCTCAAGACCAGCCTGATGAACATGGAGAAACCCCATCTCTACTAAAAATACAAAATTGGCCTGGTGTGGTGGTGCATGCCTATAATACCAGCTACTGAGGAGGCTGAGGCAGGAGAATCATTTGAACCCGGGAGGCAGAAGTTGTGGGGAGCCGAGATTGTGCCATTACACTCCAGTCTGGACAACGAGAGCAAAACTCCATCTCAAAACAAAAACAAAAACAAAACCCAAAAAACAAATAGACGGGAAGCATGGCTGGGGAGACCTCAGGAAACTTACAATCATGGCAGAAGGCAAAGAGGAAGGAGGCACATTTTGTGTGGCCAGAGCAGGAGGGAGAGAGGGGGAGTTGCATCTCCTGAGAACTCACTATCACAAGAACAACAAGGGGGAAGTTTGCTCTCATGATTCAGTCACCTCTCACCAGGTCCCTCCTCCAACACTGGGGATTACAAGTTGATAAGAGATTTGGTTAGGGACACAGAGCCAAACCATGTCAGCGGGCTTACTGACAGTGGTCTTTACTCCACAGTCATCAGGCTAGGCAGTTTCCTTGCAGGACCCCAGGTCACTCTCTTTCAGTCTTTTGTCTCAGGCTAATCAGATTCCAGAGAATTCTAATTTCTTACCTGGAGAGTATACCAGCATTCTGGGAGCTGAAAAGGAGGAGGGAGCTGAATTCAGACTTACGTTGTTGACCTTAACCCCCCAGTTTCTAGTACGGTGGTCCTGGCATCTACTGTACCTGGTGTTTCCCAACCCCAGTCCAAAGCCTGTCTGTTTTAGCTTCTCCAGAGAATATGCCTGGATTCTAATGCCAGTGAGGAGATCTAGGAGTCAACCCCTTCTTAGCTATTCCTCCTGTTTTCAGGCTGACACTTGCTACTTCCAGATGCATCTAGTTGGTTTGCTGCTTGGCTTTGTCTGCTGCTAGTTCCTGTTATTTTTATCCTTGTAGGTTTGACCTTCTAGGTTAAAAATATCCCTTTACTTTGTGTTAGTAGGATTTGGGGAGGGAACAAAACGTGTGCATACATCTTCAATCAAATTCTCATTTTTCTCTACTGAATCTTTTACTGTACTTTTTATTCTGTGACTTTTATCTTAGCCATTGATCTCATTCATAGAATCTTGTCAAATGCTTCCTAAACATCTAGGCACTGCTATGTGACCCACCAGATTCTTCTTATCTGCTATGGAAGTCATTATTTTCAAAGAACCAAGGTAGATGAATATTAAATCATAACTTCTTGCATCTGATTCAAAAGGTCCTTTAAAACTATGCTTTTCTACGTGTGCATCTTTCTTACCCCTTAAAGTGTTATTTCCTTCTGAGATATATTAATCATCTTTACTTTACTTACCAGGTTCTCAACTTTATGAGTCA